GAGACACCGATATCAGTCCTTGTTACTGGTAATGAAGCTAAGAAGGTGATTTCTAGAACATGGCCTTGACAACAAGAATGGAAAACCACAGATAAGTTACGAGGATAAAATCAACTCGTGTGACCAGCACTGGTGACGGAACGCATAACACTTCTCAAGGTCACGGTAACAGTCTCGGCGCCAGACCACGAGACGAAGTGTTGACTGTGTGTTTTCTGGCGTGTCTAATTACCAAATTACTTTCACCTTCGCTGTGTCCCTCCATTTACATGCATAAGTATATGCGCGCTGGTGTAGGTGTATGTATGTACGTAAATGTACAGATGAGCTGAGAATTATGCAACAAATCATAATGGTGTATTAACATAGTTGGGATTTTTGTTAATGCATTTCCCATTGTCTGACATTAAGAAGTTAATGAGATTCGATATCATTCCTTAGGGCATTGTTACACTGATGTGATCTGAGGTCATCGTTGCTCCTTAAGTCATTCTTGCACCAATGCTGTCCAAGGTCATTCTTCAGCAATGTGTTGCAACAATGACCTCCTTTTCCATCTCTGTACAATAGTGCGTTTGTCACGCTAGAGCTGTATGAGACTAGACTATATTTTTAGAAACCATGCATGGCTTCGTCCTGCTCGTACAAGGTTTTCTGAAAATATTATTTTTATAATCTTCACTGTCACGTTTCCTTGTAACATATATGATAAAAAAAATTTGGGGGGCAATACTTGTAACAATTCTGTTTTTCGACGGAAATTGTTCACTGTTATAGCACCAACAACAACAACAACTGCTTCTATTATTGTAAATAATCTCAGCTTCAAAGTTCCAAATATAAATTTATTATTCTGCTTTAACTCATCACTAAATTACAACGAGTTTCAGATTTTAATGATATGATTATTTGATTTTTTTTTTAAAATTTGTATATTAAATTTTTTTATACTTTTTCAATTCGAAGTTTCGAGGCGCACTTGGAAAGAACTACTACTGTCCTGTTACATGAAGGACACTTAAAATTTGAACCAGGTTTAGTCACCTCAATAATAAAAATAAAATCATTTAATGACACTTTTGTTTCAAACAAGCATGCGTTCTTAAAATTGAAATCATGGCTCTGCACTAATAACATGACAGACACTTGAATTTCCGGTTGTAGACGTCAGTGCTGATTGACAACTCATGCAGAGAGGATCGCCATTTCCTTGTAAATGGACAAGCAATATAAATGCTAGAAACCGAGAGCCGTCATCTGTTTATGATTCGACAAAACACGAGCTCGCGAAAAATACAGTCGCACTCATTCTTCGTATACGTTAAGATTCCGATTTCAAATCTCGCTCGCGATTTTATTCAGTTTCTCTTGTCATATCCCGGAAGAGTACCTTAAACTAGGACACGGCATCTTCCCTCAACACTCTTTACATTAATCGCTAATCTTGCTATTATTCTGCATCGTACTACATTAAATTAACCAGTGCTGCCAGTACGCGTATTCTGCCGTAGTCCACCACCACGCGTATGTTTCGTGTTTTGTTTCCATATGATAGTTTTATCCTGGTGACTTGTTCAAGTTTGAATCGTGATGTCATTTCAGAGGTTAGAGTACAATAGCTCAGTGTTTGTAAAATTGTTTGAAGTGATCTTCAGTGAATGATTCAGCATGCTTAGCCATCGCTTCTATATGTGCACTCTGACTGCTGTTTTAGTTTTCTGAACGGAGTCTTTATTTATTTATTTATATTTTTTTCGTGTAACTTTCTTTTTTACATCCTCAAGAAACTGTTAACTTCTGTAAAGGTCTAAAATTTCTGACCATGCCTTTAACCATTTCTTAATGCCATGCTAATTGGTACTGCAACTATCGATATTACATAAGTTACCAACCTAAACTAAAAAAAAACTCACATCTGCGCAGTCAGTTGTTTGTATATGGCGTACATTGGTAATCCTTCGGCATATGTTGCGTAGATCAGAAATGACCTACAATGTTTCTGTTCTTTCCATATCCATTATCATACAAAATGCTAAGGCTGTTTTCACACAACAGAGTCACGTTAGTAACAGCGTTAAGGATATAGATTTCTATAGTTCAGCTCATTACATCGGGTTGACCTCCAATGGCCTATTACGAGGTGCGATCGGAAGGTTTCCAGACTGCGCGTATAAAAACCCGTACACTTATCTCAGGTATTAAATTCATCCATCACCCTCGAAGTAGTTCCCCTGGGAGTGAACACAACGATCCCAGCACCGCTGCCAAGCCTGGAAGCATCCCTGGAAATCTTTCTTTGTCAGCCTGTCAAGCACCATCTGCGATTCTGCCTGAATCTCTTCTATCGTCTCAAATCTCCTTACCTTTAGCTGAATTTTCATCTTTGGAAAGAGGAAGAAGTCACACGGAGCTAAATCCGACGAATAAGGAGGGTGCGGGATGACGAATGCCTCACAAAAGTTTGTGCACGACCCATTTCGAAGTATTTCCCCAAATGCTTGCTTTAGCATTTCATAGGTTTCTGTAGCCGTTTTGGCGAGTCTTTGGCAAAATTTGATTTGTTCATGAAAATCCGCCATTCCGAAATCGCAGGAGGGTCGGGGTAATGACCTACCAAAACGCCCGTAACTAAGAAACAAATGCTAATTCGATGATGCCGGCTGGCACACTGATTCACTATGAATGTAGGCCGCACCCCCTAGCGGCAGAAGCTCGTACTACATCCGGTTCGCCCTCTATTGACACAGTCTTGAAACTTTCCGATCGCACCTCGTACATTCATACACATCTACTCCAAACACGCATTCGTCTTTATGTAACTGTTAATGACAGATTCATCACCCTGATGATGGAGGCAGTAAGGACCTTTGAAAAGTCGGTAAACGTCTACCAGACGTACATTCCAGAAGGTAGCTGTCCTCGTACTCCCACTTCGTATTCGGGAGGTCCTGGGTTTCGGTCCGGAAATTGGTTATCCTGATTGAGGTGTTTCGTTTCGGTTTTCCACCACGGAAACGCTAGTAGTAGCTTTAATTATACGCTGATTAACATATCATTCGATTGTCTACGATTCTTATCTGTGGAAATCTTTTGACAAATTGGACGGAAGAAAATCAAATACCGAGATTCCTGGAAGCATACGTAACACGATGACACACGGCATCAATTTCGTGGGAAGGTTGTTTACGTCATTGTCGGTGTCTCGAGGAGCTAAGCTCTACTTCACACTTACGTGTCAAATGCCCGGCTACGAAGGCGCTGCGATCTCATTTCCAATGCCCTTGAGAATAACTTGTTATTAGCTGTTTCATTTCTTGTTACTCGTTCAGGTTATGAGTCTAGTGTTGGAATTCAGTGAAAATTACCTCTGTACTTTGTTATTGTTAAAGAACTCTTTCAAACCCTGAATATTCATTTGAATCCACGTATCACCCCCTCGAGAGAGAGTGAAAGAGAGAGATAAGACGGATAGGAGAAGAGTAGAATTTGCAAAGAGGAAATTGTTGGAGGGGAGAAGTGAGAGACACTTCGATTTAAGGGGGGAAGAAAGAGCATCTTGTAGTTAGTAGGTCCCCAGGCAATGCCCGCTCGTCCTTCTGGTAAGGATAAAGTGTAGTAAAATATTCAGAAAATACGAAATTTTGAATTGTGAATTAGAAAATGCTGAGGTTATTAATTTAGAAGTTTAGGACATAACTTAGATTTTTCTACTGGGGGGGGGTAAATTTTGATAAATTTAAATCGGGAGGACTGGATGAGAAGCTTTGCAGTGGCAATTTGGAACTTGGGAATCATCTCAGCATTTGCTTGAAGACAGAGGAAAACCAAGGAAAACCTGTGTCTTGATGGCACGAAGACACAGAAAATTAACATCTATATTTTTATATCCGTGTCTTTGTCAGGAAATAATCCGTCCTCAAACTCAACTACGTATTTGGGCCTGAAAAAGTTAAGTTCGATTTTAATTAAACTCCATACGAAAGTTTGCTTAGTATTTAAGGATTCTATGTCGTTACCATGCAGTGAGGAAAAGGAAGAATTATGCATCCCGCAATAAACAAAACTGTATTTGGGAGTAAGCGAGCGTGATCGGGGTCCTGACATTATCTAGGAAGCACTGAGGTAAACTGCGAAAGAGGTTAGACTAGCCGGTTTCAGCGAACTGCTAGTTCGTTCGGTCTCCAGTAAGCCGGATATAATAATTTTAAAATTTTTTTACAAAATAATTCGCTACAGTAAACTTCATACCTGGATGGATATCCGGAACCTTGATTACGACAGAAATATATAATTAATTTGAGAAAACCTACAATCACAATTACTAAAACGACGGTCCTAGATTGAACTTGCAGGTAGAAGTTAACTTTCAAATGTTTCCTTCTCTAGGTACAGTTTCGTGGCAACTTGTAATTTTTTTGAATTTGGAAACCCACAACCATTTAGCTTTAACCGTCGGCATTAATCTACACACCGACATAATAACGCCAGAAGATATCTCATGTGTAACATGAAAACAGTTGCAGTTTCGAGGGACTTCTCGTAGGAACACGACAGTTCTGCTCATTAGGCCAAGACGACTCCTCCTCGGTCAATAATTCTCAATCCCCACCTTTCCTCGCCTAAACAGCTTAAGCTTGAATCACAGGAGCTGATCTGCACACAGATTTAAGTATTTGCCGTTCACGTGTTCTCTCAGTCTTTGAGAATCCGCTGCAGTAGGAGATTCGGTGTTCTACGTGCGATATTGAAGTTCCAATATGGAACTGCAGGTGGCACTGTGCGTTGCTGCTGTACTCGCAGCAATACAATGGACAGACAGCGTCCAGGTTGACCGTGTTGTTTGTTACTATGATAGTCGCTCGAGATATAGAGAAGGTAAGGAACATCAAATATACTTCAAAGCAAAGCTTTGAGCAATATACAAGGAGAAGCCATTGTGTTGTCAGTTCACAAACTCATGTTTAAGTGAACAACAATAAATTCGAGAAGTGCTTGTTCAGCTTTTGAATGTTCATGGAGTTGGCAATACTGTACATGCTGTTATACATACATCTGAGCAATTATTGCCTGAACCTAGCTCTTTTCAGACAGATTCCTATTGAAATGTTGAAAGGGAATAACTTGTCAGGTATGCATCAAAATCCGCTAGAATTTATCCAAGTAGGAGAGAGTGCATTATGTTCTGGGATCCAAAAACGTATTAATTCCATTTATAGCAATATTGAAAAGGTGCGCCTTATTCCGAAATACACACATTCCTTTTTTGAAAATTCTAAATTAGTAATTAAAGATGGCTTCTGTTATCTTACATAACTTTCGTTTCCAAATCCACAAATTATATGGTCTCAATATCTTCAGTAACGTAAGTCATTAGCGATTCGTCGGCAGGCGAGTTAACTCTGTGGTACCATAATGGATTCCTACGCGTGGGGTAATGGGCTTGAATCCAATTCAAAAGATTATAATAACCCAGAAGACAGCAGTCTTCAGACTCGCCGCTGTGAAAACCTCAAATCCTATTGAAGTCACATCTATCTTCCTTGCAGCCGCCACATTGTTATTTTTCATTATATAGGTCGCGCGAGAAGTGCTGGCGCATGCGCAAAGGTCGTATGAGATGGACTCGTCCGAAGCACGCGCTAGAGGGGTGTCAGCTTCAGTTGGTTTGTAGCTCTAGCTGTGTTTAGTTCGGTGCGTCACCGCAGCTGAGGCTGTGCGACCCCCTCTACTACTGAACTCCCCTCCCTCGGCTTACACATCGCGCGTTTAGGTGCCACCGCTACTCGCGCGACCTGTACAAAGAATTAATTTTCCAAAAATTCGGCCATGTTGGTATTCTCTATTGTCAGAAATTGTAAAAGTGCAAGTTTAGGGTATTTTCCAATGGCATAACGTCTATATAAGTTTTAATCTAAATCCGCCTAGTGGTTTTAGAGTTCAATCATGCGGGGACACAGACATAACTAGCATCATATTCGTCCATTTCATATACATCGTGAAAGAACGCGCACGATAATTTGGTAGATGAATGGGAGAAATCTATTATTGTTGACGGAAGAATACAGATTAAGGACATATATGAACAGAATTAGTTAGAGAACATTTAAACCCAAGTGGGATGATTTAACAAGAGATAAGAGAAAAATGCTTGAGGGGTACCACAATTTGTACTCTTCAAGGCCAAGGCAGTAAGTGGGCATGGAGAAATGTGTGCAGAATTGTGGTTGGAAACCCTGAACGAAAAAGACCACTCGAAAGGCGTAAGCATAGTTTAAGTAAAGTAAAGCGTCCCGCTACATGCCGTATGCAGGCACTGGGACGTATAGCTCCTACTCTTTCTTGACCTTGGCACCAGATGGGGTGAGTGGTCAGCATCAAGCCCCAGCCGTAAAGCACGGAAGATAATATTAAACTGGATCTTAGGGATGTAGGGTTGGCGAATGTATATATACAATAATAAACACATGCATTTATACATACACACACGCATACGTACATACACGCGCGCATACAGACTCGCACAGCACTGAACATTCAGAATTTCTCGATCGTTCAAACAACCATGGAATGCGTGTACCAAGGACTTACTTCAGTTGTCTGTGAGATTACATCATCATTTCAGTCTAAAGGAACAAAGAATTAAAATATTGAAGAAGTTAGATTACGTAATCGACAATGCAGTTGTATTTTTTTGTTTTTATTTACGAAGACAGAAGAAGGCAAGGAGTCTGAGCAGATATGAAGTAAATAAATAAAATTGTCTCCCATCTAATTTGGTTACAATCGGTGGAATTTTCAAACACTGATTCTTACACTTCGTGGTTTTCTGTGAATCAGTTGTCCCTATCTATAAAACAGGTGACAAAATTGAGTACAGTAACTTCCAAGGTATCTCTCTGTAGTCAACGTCGTACAAAATTTTATTGAATATTCTTCTGGCACTGTTAACGTCATTTAAGAATGAAACTATTGCGGACTATCCATGTGGATTCCGCCGCATTAGGTCAAATGTTGATCAGATCTTTCGCATTAGACAAATATCAGAGAAAAATTGGAAGTATAATGGGTCAGTACACTTCAGGAAGGCATGCAACTTAGAAGAGAGGTAATGTATGGCATTTTGATTGAAACTGGAATACTAAAGAAACTTTTTAGGTTAATTAAGATGTGTATCTATGGGGTATCAAGTAGAGTCTGTGTAGGTAACTTTCTGTCAGATCCTTTCCCAGTGCACAATAACCTCAAACAGGGGGATGCTTTATCACCAATATTTTGTAATTTTTCTCTAGTACATGTCATCAGGAAGGGCTTGAATCAAATGGTGCACCAGGTACTTTCCTATGCTGATGATGTCAGTTTGCTGGGTACCATAACCAAGAATGCAGAAACTCTCGTACAGGGTAGCAGGGAAATAGGCCTAGAAGTAAATGTAGACGAAACTAAATACATGGGCGTAATACGGGATCAACATCAGCAACAACAGCGGAACATAATTATAAGTAGCATCATTTGAAAATGTTTAAAAATTTAAGTATGCATCTCATTTGCTATCCAAAACAATAAAGATCAGGATTTATAAAACAATAATTTTTCCGTTTGTCTTGTATGGTTGTGAAATATGGTATCTCGCTTGGAAGGAAGAACATAGATTACACGTGTTTGAAAACAAGGTACTCAGGAGGATATTTGGATCTAGGAAGGATGAAATAGGTGGGTAATTTAGAATATTGCACAATGAGGTGCTGCATGAATTGTACGGGGTCACCTAGCATAGTGAGGATAGTGAAATTTAAGAGGCTCTGTTGGGCTGAACATGCAGCACGCATGGGGGAAGCAAGGGGTGAATTCAGGATTTTGATAGGAAATTATTCTGGAAGACATCCACTGGTTATACCGAGAAGGAGATGGGAGGATAACATCAAGATGGATCTTAGGGAGGTGGGCTGTGAGGATGGCAAATGGACGGAGTTGGCTCAGGATCATGGCTGGTGGCGAGCTATCGTGTCGTCAATCTTGGACGTGCGGGTTGTGCTACCAGGGAGTTAGTTAATCTGTTAGTTCCAATCAGTGCAACAAGTTTCATATATTATTAATTATATCAAATTTGTTGTATTTACTCTGTTTAATAAATAAATGAGATACAATGGTACAGATTAAATTTTAAAAAATGCTAAGTCCTGATTTAACAGAGAGGGCCTAAGGTCTAGAATTCAAACTCAAGATGCTGATTGGATCTTTATTCAGATATGAGCAGAAACATTTCAGTTTGGGGACTATTTGCTGGAAGGTGCAACTTAAGCCTTTTATTGGAGTAATTAGCCTGACAGATGAATGTTCATAAGCATTCTTTGAGTCAACTTTACACCCTCAGGTATGCTGTAAACAGATTTACATCTCAGTGATGGAAAAATGTTAATATTTTAACCAAATTTCCAAAGTAGATCTGCCTACAAGACTGCCTTCTCGAACATGCAGCTGCACAGGGAAATAATCCCATATGCACATCCATTTTAAGAAACTTGCAAAGACAAAAATTATAATTAACTTACTATGTGGGACACTTGCATTTTGATAAAATGAGTAGCCTGGGTTTTGAAACAAGACAACCTAAAGAAGATGCTGAGATAACCTGCTGCAGTCTTTGGAAATTGTTTAACAACTAAAAAAATAAAATTTACCGTCATGAAACTGGACCTTGAAAAACCATGAAATACCTTAGAGTAGCCAATTCCATAGCCAATATTTGAACTAGGTACCTTCAGATACAAGTCAAATGCACTGACGGCAACAATGGTAGTAATATCGTCTTCAGAATTGATCCAGAGCAGCGGAGGATAGGACTGAATGGAAGAGGAGAATTGAGGAGGTCATGGACCGGAGAGCCATATAAGAAGAAGTACATGGACTTATATGATAAAAATGATTAGTGCTTGTAATTGGCCATGAATTGATGAGCTGACATTACTGATCGTGACGTCACTGATGGTGATGTTAATGTGTCTACAGGTATAGGGAAAGCGGAGGCCCCAGGGGACATCGAACCCGCCCTCTCCACCTGCACACACCTGGTGTATGGGTTTGCTGTTATTGATGGTGGAAACAACAAGTTGGTCCCTCTGGATGAGTACCAGGAGCTCGACTCTGGGAAGGGTTACTACAGGGCCGTGACATCACTCAAGAAGCGTTACCCGGGCCTGAACATTCTCCTCTCTGTGGGGGGGTTGGCTGACCCTGACAAGCAAAAGTACCTCACTCTGGTACGTAACTCTGTATTCTATATAACTTGAATACAAGTACGTAAGCTGTTGTACTCAGCGCAGTAGTTTTTGGCCAGTGGAGAAGCTGTGTACCTGAGGTGGCAAGGTCAGTGTATTTCTTTTGTTTGGGCTTTCAGTCCGACAAGCTCCTCGTCTTTCCTGGATTCAGACGAAACGTTCTACCATCGTACAAGTGACTTGCTCCTAGCCTTCCCCTTGAATATTCCACCGGCCAAAAACTACTGTGATCATTATATAAATGTAAAACAGCTATAATTGTGCATCAGTTATTGTCCTAACATCCATTAATTTAATATGAAATATTCACATAGTTGCCAAAACTTTTTTACGTCAGTAACAAGAAGCTCGGGGGAAAAACTTCTAATGTCTGAAGTTTCTTAAATTA